TGAAAGGCATGCATAAAAGTAAAACTTTGTACTCTTCCATTTTCTCTGCCCTCAGCAAAACAGTAAAACTTGGAACTACTGCCTAGCAAGGTCTGTCCTCCACTTCAAAAGCATATAAAGTTAACTTGAAGAGAAGCCACAGGACTTCTTCTCTCTCCATTTGAACTAATATTTGGCAACAACACAAATAAAAGATGGCCCTGACATTCACTTGATGTTAAAATATCTCACCCCGTTCTATTAGAGTATGAGTTGTTGTTGAAGGAAAGAAAAAGAAGCAAATGGGAAGTCAGTATTTTGTCATTGAAGGAATACACCCCATGAGTATTTCATTCACTCTGGGACCCACTGAAATTTGTAATGAGACAGGAAAAAGGAAAGTAAAAAAGCAGAGAAAGAAAAAAGGAAAAGGGCTGGCCAGGCATGGTGGTACACCAGGGATGAGGAGGCACGAGTTCAAGGCCAGCCTGGGTTACAAAACTCAAAAACAAAACAAAAAAACAAACAAACAAAAGAACTTCTCCAAATCATCTACTTACCAAGAGGAAATGTATGTTTATTCTGTACTTGAAGTAAGCCATTATATCTTTATTGGACTCCATTATAACAGAAAATAATTGAAAAAAATTTAAATACCAACAGGGTATCTAATCTCCTAAAGTCAAGCAGAAAAATAAAATATAAGTACACTTTATCCTTGGAATTATTTTTATGTAGCTGTAAAAAATAAAAAAAAAAATTGACATGAACACAGAAGGGGAAGTACCAGGGAGGGGGAGAGGTAACGGAGAATGAGTGTGACCAAAGTACAGATGTGCAAGGATGAAAGTATCATGACAAAAACCCAGTATTTTATAGGATTACTGTGTGAGACATATAAAATACAATAAAAAGGTTCATTAAAACAATCAACATAAGAGCTAACGTTAAATTTTGTATTGGTAACTTGGGACTAAATAGTATATAGTGACATTTTTTCTTGACTAGTTATTTAGGATGCTGACCTTGTGCCTCATCTGAAATGTTTTCAACACATTCTTAACTAGCACCAAGGATAGAAACTGCAATATCACAGTATTAAGAGTATCTGAGCTTGCTTGCCAACCAGAAGACCTGAAGGAGGAAATGAGGAGGTGCACTATCTCCATTTTGTTTGAGGACCAAGAATACCACATCGTACACTAGAACACCAAGAACAATAAAATCTCAGTCTTACGCTACCTCTCTTCTTTGGTTTAAGTATACAAATATTCTCTATGTCCCAGCACTGCAATGATGATGGTGATGATTACAGCCAGTCCAGAACCAATAAAACAAGGGCTACTATGAAAAGAAAGCACTTCTGCCAGACAGCATTTGTCCTGGCAGGGAATCTCATGGAAAAGGGCTCAACAGCTTGCTGAGAGAACCAGTATCATCAAAGGATGTTCAGAAAGTATGTTTCCATAGCTATGCTAGAGATATGCAATTCCAGGGCCATCATACCCAGCACCATCCCACACTCTCTCCTCATCTAAGTACACACAGGTACTTAAGTCATGAGTAAGTTACTCAGGCCAAATGGCTAATATTTCAGATAGACACAGAAGACGGGAGCAGAGACTGGCACCGATTCGGTAGGCATACAAGCACTGTAAACTCCAAGTAAGTAAAAGGCAGGTCTTGGAGGAATCACAAAGCTGCCCAAGATCATTTAACAAACAAGAACACTCTTTTGAAAAAAGTTTTATCTCTGTTAAAGTGTAGTCCTCTGAATTTCTAGGGCAAAAATTGAAATTTCCACTTAATAGAAGTGTATGAGGTGGGTGATGGTGGTGCACACCTTTAATCCCAGCACTCGGGAGGCAGAGACCGCCTGGTCTACAGAGAGAGAGTGAGTTCCAGGACAGGCTCCAGAGCTACACAGAGAAACCCTGTCTCAAAAAACCAAAAAAAAAAAAAAAAAAAAAAAAAAAGTGTGTGCATGTATGATACACACATATCTATATATGATATATAAATATATATATATATATATACACACACAACATATATATGAACTTCTCTATCTCCAATGCAGAATACTATCACCACCATCAAGCACTTCCAAGAGATCTTTATGACAGCAAACTATGACACATTTACAACAAAAGTTAATGCCACTATTTTACCTTGTGCTATCTATCCAACTGCATGAGTGAACTTGTTATTATGAAGCCTCTTGAAAGTGAATTTATCTGTATCCTTATTGACTTCCTCAGTCAGTTTTAGCAACCCCTTTGAATATGCATTCATTAGTTTTTCAGTAATTTTGGTTTGGATAAAAAGTAACCTATCATGTATGTTTTATATAAATTTTCCATCTAGGATCTGTCTTACCTAACAGATACTCTATTCTATGAATCTAACCAAAAACCTTCTTAATTATGTTTATCTTTAAAAAACACAATCATCTATAATGAACACACATCCTTCCAAGAAACAATAATTAGTTGTATTTTTTAATCCCTTAACCAGATGAAGTAGGACTTAATCCTGAATCCTAGCAATCTAATGGAGTTCATTACTGCATCTTGTGTTTATAACTTAACTATGCTTTGCTCAACCTGATTCCAATTTGGTAATCAACTGGAGGAAATAAACAATTCTGATTTTCTTGCCCTTTCAGCACCCTGGTATTGACACTAGGCTAAGGAGAAATCTTTTACAAGCAAACCAAATATATGTATCTGAAAATACAGTCCTTGTATAACACAGTACTTATGAAATTACCTCAAAGCCATTCAGCCTGAGTCTAATGGGTGTGTGAACCACTGAGAAAAGTTCACTTTGGTGAGACAGGAAAACGAGCTATTGTTTTCAGCACAACTGTCTTCAGTTCTCTGAATACTACTGAAAATGAAAACAAAGTTGCAGCACCCTCTTCTGGCCTCGGTAACCTCAGCTTAGTCGGTTATACACAGCACACAGAAACTGTCAGATTAACCACGTTCCCTTAAATGTGCAGTTCCTGAAATGAGCATGAAAAACTTGTTTCACTACTTTCTTGTGCATGTTATGTGTGGTCTATGTGTAGTTTATGCACGCTCTTGTATGTAGATGTACCTATGTACTCAGGGAAGCCAGGGGACATCAGTTATAATGTTCTACCACTCGCTGCCTTATTCCCTTAAGACCAGGTCTCACACTGAAACTGGAGATAAGCTGGCAACCAGGAAGCCCTAGCAACATCACTGATGCCACCTCTCACAGTACAGAGGATATGGAAACATGATTACATCTAGAACTTTATGTGCATTCTGGGGATCTGAACTCAGGTCCTCAAGCTTGTATGGAAAATGTTCTTACCTGATGAGACATCTCCCAGTCTGGAGTTTCGTAACTTTTTTTTTTTTTTTCCTTTTTCCGTTTTTTGAGACAGGGTTTCTTGTGTAGTTTTGGTGCCTGTCCTGGAGCTTGCTATGTAGCCCAGGCTGGCCTTGAACTCACAGAGATCTGCCTGGCTCTGCCTCCCGAGTGCTGGGATTAAAGGCACACACCACCACTGCACGGTGAGTTTCATTACTTCTATGTACAAATCATGTGGGTTATGATTATGTATCTTTTAGGAATAAGGGTAACTTTAATGAAAATAGATTTTCAGATTTGGGTGGTAGATAAGTACATAAAAATGTATTTGATAAAAAGTATAAAACCCAATATGAAGCTCTACAGTTTCCCTGATGAATGCTTATTTTTTTAACTGTATAGAAGTTAATTTGGTTGTTTGGTCTTTTGATATGGGTAGCCTTGTTGTGTGTTTTTATTTACAATGCTTTTTCATAATAAAATATAAAAATTAAATAAGATAATAAAAATTTCCACTGAACATAAAAAAATCAAGTTAAAGGATACTACAAAAATCTAGAATGTGGGCAATTCTCTGACGTGGTGTGGATCTTAAAAAGTCAACATGAAGAGTAGAGAAAGATAACAATGGGGGCTAATCTAGATTAACAACAGTATAAAGGGACATTATATAGGTGGCATATATATATTCCTGGAATGGAGCCTAGATTTAAGAATGAATAATGTATATTTAAGACAGTTTGCAGGGTGTTGATAGTAATATCTTAAGAATCACTGCCAGGCCAGGCTGTGGTAGTGCATGCCTTTAATCCCAGCACTCAGGAGGCAGAGGCAGGCGGATATCTGTGAGTTCGAGGCCAGCCTGGTCTACAGAGCTAGTCCAAGACAGGTTCCAAAGCTACAAAGAAACCCTGTCTCGAAAAAATAAAAAATAAAAAAAAAAAAAGAATCACTGCTGGTATTCCTGAACATAACAGTGGTCTAGATTACTTGGGAGGTTGTTCTTATCCTTACAGGAAACTTGAAATAGTCATACATACAGCTTCCATCTGTATTCAGATCTGCATTCAATAAAGTAGGTGCATCTCTATTCACATGTACATCTACATACAAATACACATGCATATAAATATACACAAGGACATAAAGCTAAATGTTAGTAATTAGCAGAAGAATATTTGGGGAGTCAATGCTTTACTCTTTCTGTCTCTGGTGAAGGAATCTCTCTGTAGAACTGAAACTTCTCTGTGCAGACAGCTGTGTAATGTAATGTACATAGGCAATGTACCAACCACAGCATCAGCCTATTTAGTAGTTCCTACTCACCTTCCAAGATGAAAGATAACTGAAAATACCACCCAGATAGTTTCTTCTGTATATTCCTTATACTAAGAGATACAAGCAGTTATTAACTCCTAACAAACCAGAGAAACAAAAATTAAAAACCTAACAAAATCATTAGAAAACAACAAATGAATCAAAATGTTAAACTTAGGTTGTTATTAACATAAAAAGGAGCTATAACAGGAAGCTATTATTATTATAATGTAATTGGCAAGTAAAACAAGGTAATAGGTAAGATAAATAAAACAGTAATTTTAATGTACATTAGGTAAAAAGTTGACCAATTCTACCTATAAACCTCATATTAGGAAATAATTTCTACAATTGGGTTAGAGTTGAACAGTTTATTATGCAGGGCATTAATCTAACACAAACTTAAGCACTGGACAAAGGATATTTTCAAGTTCAATGAGACAGATGTCACACATGAAAGACCTCTATATTAGAAATGAATGAAGCTGATTTATTGAACACTTTAAGTATTAAAAGCAAAGAGGAAAGAAAAAATGTTCCAGAAGAAATTAGTAAGAAGGGCATCTCTGGGCATGTATTAGAAAAATGTCCTTCCCCAAGTAGAGGGTGATAGGTAACAGTGACAGAAGATCAAAAGTCTATAAAATCGTATTAGCACAAAGCACAAGCCACACCTAGTAATTTCAGGGCACTCACATATTATCACATTCAATTATGCATGGGGACTGCAGCATAGGAGCAGAGTCGCATTTTGCCTCATTTAGTTGTCACTTTGATAGAAACATTTCTCAAACTTAAAAAAAGGAATAAACCAAAAATTTCCTTCATAGATGTTTACTCTTCAGATACTTTGTTTTATAAGTTAGTCTATTTCATCAAAATATGAACAGCTGTCAATGAAAATTTCTTTTTGTTGTTGTTTGGTTTTTTGAGACAGCGTCTCATTATGTATCCTGGCTGGCCTGGAACTCACTATTGTAGACCATGCTGGCCTCAAACTCAGAGAGATCTGCCTGCCTTTACCTCCTGAGTGCTGGGATTAAATGTGTACATCATCACGCACAGCAAAGATTTTCTAGAAGCACAACTTGCATGGATTTAAAACAAAACTATTTGTGATCCCTGTTAGCCCCATCTTTCTACCCTTGTCATGCTACTTCAAGGATGAAAGACCAGTCCTTCATTCTCATTGGAACTTTTCTACCAAGTACTTGCACCAAGTCAAGATACTTAGACAGAATCAGTATCAATCACTCATTTAACTCTTTATACACTCTAATACATAATAAAAAATATATATGCATTGTAAAATTGGTAACTTTTTTTTAATTTCACCACTGATAGGCTTAAAGGGTAAGAAGAATACTAAAAAATATTTTGTTGATATTTTAATATGAAGATATCAAAAATTAAAATGGGAATATAGTTGTAAACATGAACTTATTAAAATGAAAAGAAAATACAATATGACTCAGAGGAAAGTATATCATTTAAACCATAATATTTAAATTGGAACAAAAGATTATAATCTAACAGCTAACAAGGTTTTATTAAAAAATATTTAAAATGTGACACATGAATTAAAATTTTAACTTTACTATTTGATAATGACATACTTTAAACTCAAGTGAAAAGAGCTTTAAATATGTCCCTGTGAATTAATCACCCTTAAGATTATCTGCCAAAGCTGAAGTCATTTGTCGAAAAGGAAACAGACAAGTCTTGGAAATGCAAATCTAACTTGCATTCACAGGAGGAAAATTTAGATCTATTAGTTAAATATGGTACTCAAATTTTAGGTTATTTAAATACTGGTATAGTACAACCAGGGAAATTATAAATATTTATAACTAAAATGTCAGTAGAATACCTTTTTGTATGGATTAAAATGATTCATTAAAATTACTCCTGAATAAGAAGCAAAAATAATTCCAATAGAACTACAAATGAGACAGACAGAGAGGAAAAACTTAAAAACTCCAGTTTGAAAATTAACAATAAATATGTAAACTATTCAACATAATCAGGAATATAAATTACTTTGAAACACCTACTTATAGCAATTTTAATGAGAATTAAAAGGTACAATGTGTCAAAGACATTTTAAAAACTAGTGGGGTAAGACAAGTGAATCAAATTTTGTTTATATCTTAAAAATTACAAGAGACTCTGAAAATGTAGTGTTAGTTCATTTTTGTTTCCAATTGAAAACTTTCTAGGCATCGCCTCTATCTTTGGTGTCACTGCTACCAATAAACACAGTATACAGCTTTAAACCTAATCACCACATTCAACTAGGGAAAAGTAAATCAACATTGCTTCTTTAAAAATAAGATATAAAGACTAATTTTTGTCTCATGGTCCACAATACCTGGAACATCATGCCAAAATACAAAAGTCTAAAGGGAACATTATTCTCCTCTAACTGCACCAAAAATGTGGCTACTGTAAGCTGGTATGATGACAGCCAATAGTGGGCAAAAGCTACAGAAAGACATAACATACATAGGCTTCGCTCACAATTAGTGAAAGAAAGGTTCGATTTCATGTGACACTACAAGACAATGCCTTCTTCGGGTCAATGTGCTACAACTTGGTTCTCTTGCAGCTTAAAAAGATAGTGTACTTATCTTAAATTTACACAAAACATTAGCAAACATGGTAGTTGTTCATGATTAAAATAAAACAGCAATGTAAATTAATTTAACACAGTGTTAAATATATTCACATGATCACCACTGTAATTGAAATGGTCACTAATGAAGTTACATGTCAATATATGTACATAACATTTGCCATAGCAGTTTTTGAACTTTTGAGTGTTGCAGACCAGGTAATTTTACAAGACAATAATCTTGTAACAATTCTTCATATTACGAAAGGAAATAATGTTGTAAGTAGTTTCATTCTTCTGGGGGAGGGGTAGACCTCTAAAAAGTCAGTGCAAATTGAAGACAGTTCTACCCTCTTGAGTATATGAACTTGTTGACCAAGACAGATTCCTATAAGCTGAGGAAAAACAAATCTTAGGATGTTAACGAATCTCCTAACATTGTCAATGGCATTCAGCAGAAACATGCCACCAAAAGGAACATCAAGTCCTATAGGAGAGCCTTCTGAGAATATGCTTGCTGTGGCTGAGGTGGTTGTTGGCTGCCTCCTGCTTGAGGCAGGGTTGATGATGTTAAGGTATAGTTTGGCACCTGGGACATATTAGGTCCTGCGTTCTGGTATATGGTGACATCAGCAGGCACAGATACAGCAGCAGGTATAGGTACAGGTACAGGTACGGCGGCAGCAGCAACAGCGGCAGCAGCAGCAGGACTATATATTGAAGCCTGACTGGGATATGAGTTTCCTTGAACAGAACTAACCATTGCACTGTGGAGGAAAGAAAACACTGAATTAGCTAAACTAAATAATCAATTGTGCACCCATTCAGATATGAACAGGAAAACCATTTACATTCATTTGATAATTTATTAAATATACAGTGTCAAACACTGTTATTTAAGTACTGGGATGCTATGAAGGAAGAAAAATAAGTGTCTACTATTATAGAACTTACATTTTGGTAGGAGAAAAAAAAGACAGTAAATAAATGTATAGTATGTCAATGGTTAAAATTACAATAAAGAAAAACAGAGCATGACAAATAGTACCAGAAGTACCTGGGACAAAGGATTCTCATTTATGTAGGGTGGTAGAGGAAGGCCTTTCAGATAAGGCTTCATTCAAGGAAAGATTTTAGGAAAGCAGAGGAACCATTATCAGTAGTCTAGAAAAGCACACATTAGGCTAAGAAAAAGAAGCCTTTGAGGTTTTATAATGTGGTATGTTCGAGAAATAGAAAGGAGGCCAAGGTAATTGTGACAGAGTGAGCAAAGAGTGGCAGTTAGGAAGAGGGGCTGCCGAAGATTTAGTGAGTACCTTAGGAGACACAGGGCTGTGCTTATGACTGAAGGGAAATATACTCTTGCTGGGTTTTGAGGAGAAAGGTAATGAGATATGACTTGTATTTTGATAGGCTCACATGGGAACAGGAACAGATGTGAGAGCTGGCAGGTGCCCAGAGCCATAGTAGAGACAGAAGAGAAGGGTCACACCCTACTCTGAAGGAAGTGCCATTGAAATGTGATAATGGACCAAGTAGTCTAGAATGTCTAGTTTTATAACTGATAAAAATAACTGCAATGACAACTTACTAAAAGGAGAAAACTACACATGGGACTATAGCTGACTGGAACAAGAGAAGTATGGGCAAGAAGAAAGAATGGTTTTGGACACCTCAAGTGAGATGTCTAGAAGACACAAGAAAACAATGCACATGCAGTCTGGAGTCCCAGGGGAGAGCAGGAGCCAAAACAGACCCTAAGAGAGTCCTCGTTCAGAGGGCCCTTAGGAAATAACTGATCGGAACAGTCCATACAATGAGCCCTTGACTTAATAATGTCAGGAATGTAAAGGTGCATCTGGAAAGGGCAAATGAGGAGCAGTAAGAAAACAGGAAAATTAAGTGACAATGGCCTCAAACACATTAAAAACAAGGAAGGGAATGAACTGAAGCAGGGTAGAAGACTTGTGAAATGACCACAGAATCTGGAAGTATGGGCATCAGCAGCATCTTGAGAGAATAGTTTCAATGGACTAGTGATATGTGAGCATCATCATCTCCCTATTTCCCTAAAAGTACGGCATAAAGGCATCCCCCCTACACACAGCAACTATCCAGTACATATATCAACTACCTGTGACTGTACCTGTTCAGATGTGCATCTATATCCTTAGAGGCTTGACCTTACAAGCTGGGGAACATTAATGTTGCCTCTGAAGGAACACTTGTGCATTCTACAGGTGCTTTCTGTAGGGCATGTCCTTTGAATGTTTGCCCTTCTTGGCTTGTCTCCTATCTGTTCTCTAGTTATTAGCTTGGCTTCATTTTCTCTAGAACACTTTTGCCTTTCTTTGTCTCTATCTGTTGCTCCTGGGTACCATCAGAACCTACTTGTACATCTGCCATTGCTTTCTCTGGTGGCTGCCATTTTTATGTGTCTACTATAAACAACGGCAGCTTTAAGAGCTAGAACTGAGTTTCTTTCACCTTTTACAGCCATTTATGCAGGACACAATTTTATACCACAAACTCAGTGAGTATGTACTATTTAAATGTTAAGTGTTAATGATGACAATATCAAATACCAGATTGAGATAGAAATGGGTTGCTGTTTTTCAATTCCTTGAAAGTATATCATAGTCTAAATTAATTTAAGAGTTGATTAATATATTTATATTTATAAATATAAAAAAATTTGTGCTTACGAGGAGAAATAAGGCAACTGCTAACACAGCAAATGGAGGTTTAACAACAAAAACAAAAAACAAAACAAAACAAAAAAAAGGAGCAAAATGGAAGAAAAAAGCAAGGCCCAGGGTGAATCAGGGAGGCTGTATATCTGAGTGAGCTTTCCAAGCCATGAGAATTTTTACTGATTGACAGGCAGGTTTTCTTAGCCCTCTTGAACACACATCTAGGAGGCTATTTCTTTAAAAAAACAAAAAAAATTATAAATACATATTCAATATGTATATATAAAATGTATATAAACATACACACACATACATTATCATACATCTCTCTTTCCTCCCTCCCTCCCCTCCCATGCCCCCTACTCTCAAATTGATAGCTTTTTCCTCTGATTATTGTTACATACATATGTGTGTGTGCATGTATATGTATATGTATGTATATGTATACACAAATACATAAACAACCTGCTGAGTTCATTTTTGTTGTTTGTTTATGGTTTGGGGGCTGACAACTTTGTACTGGAGAACCAATAAGGGAACACACAGGAGACCATTTCTTATTCCTTCACACACAGTTTTAGTTTTAGAATTAAGAGCTTTTCAGATATCTGTCCCCTAGGCCACTTGGAAGGTGCTCACTCAGGAGGTGGTACTCATGAAGTTTCCCAAAGCTACCTATAGAAGTGAGTAAGTAAAGTCACCATAGCTTATGGATCTATTTATCAATTATCTTATCTATTAAACAGATGTTTAAGTATTTACTAAGATGAGGTATAAATCAGTGGTAGAACACTTGCCTACATATATAAGGTAGGTTTGATCCCCAGCACTGTGAAGACTGTGTGTGACTGAAGGAGCAGGACACAGACAAAAGCCATTTCTTTCAAGAGACTGATATGAGTTTATTTCGATTTGAAATGGGGTAGTCAAGAAAGGTCTCACTGAAAGAAGAGAATCTTTGATATACGAATGTACTTCCAAAGTCAGGAAAAAATGATAAATTTTAAAAAATGATAGAAAGATAGAAATAATAAAGATAAACTAACTTTAAAAGCATCCATTCTGATGTGCCTCCCCATGGGAGGCCTTGCCTTCTTGTGGGGAGGAGTAAGGGGTGGATTGGGGAGGGGGAGGCTGGGGGGCAGGAGGAGGGAAGAGGGGGATCTTTGAGTGGTGTGTAAAATGAATGAAAAATTTTTCTTAATAAAAAAAAGAAATTAAAGCCATAGATAAGGGGATAACTGCAGTGTGTTCAAGGAAGGTCATTGCCATGCTAATTACATGACAAAGAAATTGGAAATGAGCTGATGGTTAAGCTTTAAAAAGAGAATGACAATATATTCTAGGGATAGTTTACCATAAAATACTATATTAAATCCAAGTTGGTAAAGATGACATAATATAGAAAAGATCTGTGAAAAATGTACATAGAGAAGGGCCTGAGAGTGTAGATAAATATTTGCTCAATAAAGACATGAATGTATATCATTTAAAAAAAAAAAAGCATCCATTCCATAGAAAGCCTTCAATAATAATATTAGCTCCTTGAAAAGTGATAAATTCAACAAACCTGAAAATACTTATGAAGAAAAGCAAAATTAATCAAAAACTAAAAAGAAAACTTAGTGGACATATGCTAAATATTTTCTATACAAATATGATTTAGTTTCTTAGTTTCAAGATACTGTCTAGTTGTAGGAAATATATAAAATATGCAATTATTTAGTGTGCGATAAGTTAGAAATATAGGTATGTACCCGGTGCATTAAGGTGCCTTAAGCTTTGAGGAAGCTTTCCAAGAAAATATATCCAGTTTGTATCTTTCCAAGAAGAAGTAAAAATGGGAATGATGTTCCAGAACCAACAAAAACACGGTAGAATAGCATGCAATGAATGGCACCTGCGGCAGGAGCACAGAGGCAGCGCAAAAGGCCTGTGGAAGGATGTGCTGGAGCATACTGTCAGTACTGAGTTACTACAGAATTAAAGCGGATGGCAGGGTCAGGCAGAGACTCTCCTGGAGAAAATGATGAGGACTGCAGAATGAATGAACCAGTATTACTGATGAGAAACTCCCCTTTATTGTAATAACTGGACAGAATGATTCATAATGGACAAAAAGCTGTGCGGCCACAGTGATTAGGTAGGAAGTTATTAGTATCCAACTGTAACACCATGGTATTAATGGGAAAGATTTATTTTGGAGATTAGTAAATATATATTAGTTGTCATGATAAACAGACAATGCAGAGGAGAGAGAAGAAAACAGAGTTTGTGAGAACTGCAGGGTTTAGCCTTGGCTACCAGGTAGACAGTGGAACTCTGAAATGAGATGAGAAGTATAACCAGTTAGCATTTGAAGGATATTTAGCATGTGCCCAGAGCATATTAATACACACACACACACACACACACACACTCCAAATGTGCTACACTGAGAGAAAGGAATTTCAGTATGCAGGTGATGTGATAATCTCTGGAGCCAGAATCCCTGGTTTTGGATCTTAGCTATGTGGAACCTTAGTCTACATCTCAGTTTCCTGCTGAGAGCTGTTGGTAGCAATGCTTTATCAGAGGCCACAAAAATATGCATTTTTTATCAGAGGACAACTGATATTCATAAGGTCGACCCACCAGATGAATAACTCTCTGATGGAGGAACTTTGTCAAGCAAGGCTTACGAGGCCATTGCCTATGAATGACTGATTGCTTCTGTCTGCAATTTTCTTGTGTGCTTCCACAATTCCTCCCTAAAAAGAATAGCTATGGGGTTTCCTTTCATAGTCTGGATTGGAACTGTGCTCTCTCCACGAACATACTGGGTACACATACATCTGGATGGTCAGAAAGATGACTTCTTCTTAAGCTGTGTAATTTTGATGAATAGATATATACTAGGATATGCTTCACAACTAGGTCTATTGTTCCACGGGGACTGTAAGACAGTTAGAAAGCTTGTTTTATTTCTTTAGCTCAGGCTGACAAGACAAGCTACATATAATTAGCTGATTTAAAACCTCAGAGCAGATTCAAAATAGACTAAATGCCCTTACAAATGAATTCATAAAGTAAACCTCCACAGAAAATACACAAGCGCAAACTCCCAGGTGTCTGAATGTAGAACCAAGGTCAGGTACAAAGCAACTTTGGTGCCAATTCCCTGCTTGCAGTCTGGTTGATGAAGACCTAATTCCCTGCACAGCTTGTCTCACTGGGCACTATGTCCCTAGTCTCAGGTTACAGCCTGCACCTTGCAGCCATGAGTTGCCATGGTTACCCACTTCCCTCAGATATAACTTTTTTTGCTTTCCATGGGATGTATATAAGGAGATACAGAACAAAGAAAAGAGAAGAAGCTTGAGAAAAATAAAGAGAATGATCATCAGTATATGTATGAGTCTTATTCCTTAAGATAAATAAGAATTATCCCTAAGTCCTGCTACTCTGAGGCATTTCTTTTTATTACCCTGGGTGCAATTCTGGTAGCTGGTCTCACAGGCTGCAATAGTTTCCCATGAACAAAATGGAGGTGCCAATGTATCTCTCTCATAGGTTATTGTAAGGAGTAAGTCAGTCAGTATGTGTTAAACATAAAGCATGGCACTGGATCCACACCATAGCCCATGAGTTTTAGGCTTCATTACCTTCTTTAAAGTCATGTTAATATCCTAAACAGAACAACACAACAGTGTTTTAAAAGCTCACACACTCTTTATGGATGGATGCTACAACAGTGAGGTACATACAGGAGCATTTATAGGCACTGCTGCTTTCTGGAAAGTGTGCCTGAGCTACCTAGAAACACTGTGCTAGTGAACTCTTAAAGTTAGTCTTCCTTGCTTCAAGGAAAGGAATTTAAGCTGGGTTCTTACACAAACCACTCTACACTACAGATACAATAGTTTGAACAGTAATGCCCACCTCAAGTTTTTCTTATCCAGGTTTATGCTTATAGACCAGTGCAACCAAGTAAAGAATTTTAACTTTAACCTCAAATAACCAATAATCAAATTACTTTGGGTAAGAAGCCTGGGTCTGCTGACTAGGAAGAGCAGAGTTTGCAGAGGGTGGAACTGCTCCTTGGCTGATGGAAGAAAGCTGCTCTGGGGGCAGACTGTAGCTCTGGAGATGGCTCATCTGTGCACTCCCTGTAACCAGGTAGGTACCACTTTGAGCAGGTCCTGGATATACCTACAAAAGGTGATAAGGAAACATTCCATTATACAACTTTAATGCCTATTCCAAACTTACTCAGCAGAGACATTCAGTTACAAAAAACAGCAAACATTGCGCCTTTAGAACTTCTTTTAAATGTTACTGCTATGTAACTGGAAGTTTTCCTGTGTCCCACCAGGTCCTCGGTCAAGACAAATCTCTCTCACCCGCCAGTCCTGCAGCCGCCTGGACCCAAATAAGCACACACAGACTTATATTATTTTTAAACTATGGCCATGGCAGGCTTCTTGCTACCTAGCTCTTATATCTTAAATTAACCCATTTCTATAAATCTATACTTTGCCACATGGCTTGTGGTTTACCATTATCTTTACATCTTGCTTCTCCTGGTGGCAGCATTTCCTCTGCTCTATGTTGCTCCTTCCTCTCTCTCTAGTTAGAATGTCCTGCCTAACCTTATTCTGCCTCACCATTGGCCAAACAGCTTTACTTATCAACCAATCAGAGCAACATATATTCACAGCATACAGAATGACATCACTCATCATTTCCCCTTTCTTTCTATTTAAAAGGTTTTAATATCAATATAGTGAAATTACATATAACAAAACAGTTATCACGCAAGAATTATAGTTATACTATCAGTTGGAATTTTATGAAAAGCTCTTTTTAGTATAGACTGATGATTTTTAATTGAAAGTATATGTGTGTTTGCAGGGATGAGTGTGCATGCATGAGTATATGGGAGCATATGGAGGCCAAAGGCTGATGTCAGGTGTCTTCCTGAATCATTTTCCACCTTCTGTTTAGCCAGGGTGTCTCACTTGAAGCCAAAGCTCATCTATTGGGCTACTATACCTAGCCAGCTTGCTCTGGGGATCCCTTCTGTATTTCCACGTGCTGGGATTACAGGTGGACTATCATGCCCAACTGGCATTTACAAGAGAGTTGGGAATCTAAGCTCCAGTCTGGCAAACATTTTACCCACTGAGCCATCCTCCTAGTCCAAATTTTTATTTTTAAGCATTACATGAACAGATTTTACTTTGACATAGTAGTAGTAAAGAAATACATCTTATACTAATATAATCTCTGTATTAAATTCATGATATACTTTCCATATTGGTCTTTCAAAAGGTCTTTTTTATTTCAATTCTGGTTTGTTTGGTTTTTGTTTGCCTGTTTGTTTATTTGGGGGGGGGTATTGGAAGAGTATGGAGGTGAGGAGGACCTAGGAAAGAGAAAACCATGATCAGAATATATTGTATGAAAAGTTTATATATATGAATCTCAACACTTTGGAAGTATACTTGAATTCATTATTTTATAGCCGCAGACTGTATTTACAATTCACATTTTCTAAACTATAATTTAATGAATGGAGAACACACTAATTTTCGAAGGTAGGGGTCAACAAATTTTCTTATACGGTACAAACAATCTATTGTAAGTACTCAATTCTATAGGTTCAGGATGCAGCTACAAAGCAGAAATAAATGGGGTGGCTGTGAGCCAAATGGAGGGGCTGTGTCCATCTAGCTAAAAACAGGCAGCAGGCTGGGTTTGTTTGCCAATTCTTTTATCTAAAAGCTGTTCTTTTTGTTGTTGTTTTATTTAAATTTAAAGAAACAGAAGTCCTTTTTTTTTTCTGAAGAAGGTTGGTTGTAACCCTGACTGGCTTGTTACAGCCTTACTATATGGTCCAAGTTGGCCTTAGATATGAAACAATCCCCCTGCTTGCTTCTTCCTGCATGCTGGGATTACAGGCATGCACTGCCAACCTCTTTAGTAATTAGCTTACTAGCATGAGTGACCATGGCTTACTGAAGTCTTAAAACATTTTTTTAGTTACTATGAAAGTCTGTTTATATATTTGAAAAGACATTCTACTGGCTATATCGTAAGACTGTTCCCATGTGCTAAGGCAACTAACACAATCATCAAGAAACCAATCACCCTCTATTTCATTAAATGTAACAAATTCACATCAGAACTCCAAAGGTCTTCATTACAAGCATAGCTAAACAAGTTCTCATGGCTATATTTTATTATTCTTTGCAAATTCAATGTGAAAGATTGCTTAACTCAAACTAGTGACCGAAACTATTGAGCAGGTACCATTCAAGCTCCTGATTCTCTACCCAAGGGTGGAGAATTCATCCTCCTGAAGATGTCAGCTTGTTTCATGAGAAATGGGCCATGCAAGAAAATCTAAGTGTGTGACTGCTCTAAGTGGACAAAACAGACTGTCTAATTACACCTAAAACTTGCTCGACTGATGGCACAGGGGCTCTTAAACAGTTGCTTGGACAGAAAGAGGGAAAAAGGTTCCATGTTGAATGTATATGTGATAATGGGAAGAGGAGGAGCATCCCCATGAAAGCTGCCCTGGGAGTGTACACATAAATATTCCATTTTGTTGGTGTTGAACAGCTTCTCAACTCATTTTTCCCATTGCCCTTAGGTCCTCCTCTTACAGATAAGTACACGTTCATTTTCTGTTTAAAACAGTTTTTATATCACTGGAAATGTTACATTTTACTTTGGGGCATTTATCAAAATCCACTAAAACATAATTGGCATACAAAGGACTGCTAATATTTAGTGAATCTAACTTACTGAGTTGGAGGTAAATATATAATACCCTTGAAAGCATAATCATAATCTATGGCATAAACATATCCCTAACTCAAGGTTGACTCCCACCCTCTTCGATAAGAACATTTAACCTGGCTAGAGATGACTCAGTGGTTAAGAGTACTCGCTGTTCTTTCAGAGGACCTGAGTTCAATTCCAACATCCACATGACAGCTTACAACTGTCTACAATCCAGCTCCAAGTGACTTGACACCCTCATACAAACATATGCAGGCAAAACACTGATGAACATAAAGTAAAAATAAATCATAAAATGAACACTTAGCCTAAGCAGTTCAGTGTAAAACAAAAGCTGTAGACACTCCGAATATTAGAAAATATATGACAGAAAAACTGAAGGTTTATTTTTTAATGATTTATTAGTTCTTCTTTTATGTGCATTTGTGTTTTGTCTGGATGTATGTCAGTATGAGGGTGTTGAATCACCTTGAGTTGGAGTTACAGACAGTTCTAAGCTGCCATGTGGGTACTGGGTGCTGGGAATTGAACCTAGGTCTTTTCGAAGAGCCGCCAGTGCTCTTTAAGCACTAAGCCTAAAATCTTACGATATGAACCTAAACTTTAAAGACTTTGGTTCTACAGGTCTAGGGTAGGATCAAAATATCTTTATTTAAAGAAAAAGAGTGGGAGGAAACTTCTTAGTGGGTAATTTTGCTACTTATCCATGTACAAAGTGAAGATTTAAAGAAAACATATATACATATGTGTGGATATACTGACATATTCAGTATATTACATATTTGTGAATTTTAAAAATTCTATTAATTTTTTTCATTGTAAACATTACGCTGAAGAAATTACACTTTGCGGTGTGGAGAGATGACTCAGCGGTTAAAAGCACTTCCTGCTCCTAGGGAAGCCAAGTTCAGTTCCCAGCACTCACATCAGATAGCTCACAACCAACTGTAAATCCAGCTTGAGGGGATACAATACCCTCTTCTGGCAAACAAGGGGCCCAGTACACACATGTGGTATATACTCACAAAGACAAAGACACACACATATATATGCATGTATTTTACAAAAACAGACATTCCAAACCATCTCAAGTACGTTTAAGAATTTACACAACACTCCTGAGCTTTGCAAAACATACCTGGGAACCAGAAACACCAGATGACTGCATATAATACTGCTGATTCTGTAATTTTGCATACATAGAATACATTGGATCTTCATTCATTAACTTCGTATACAGTGAAAGAGCTTCCATCACCTTCACATTTAGTTCTGAGAGTTCTGAATGTTTTCTGAAATATTATACAATAATTTGATTGCTAAATGGTACAATGCTCTAAATAGTAACTCTAAATACTAACAGACAGGGCAAAAACACCTTCTCCCTTGTCTCTGAGGCAACAAGAAACATGTTTTCAGGTTAGATCCCATGCTGGACCACTTGACTGTACCTGGAACTGTCTAGATTTCCTCATTCATCAACAGATGCCAGCCTGTGAGCTCTGGTAATGCCACTTTAGTAATCACAATTATATAAAAAGAGGAAGACAGTGAAAGCCCACAGCGGCCTTGCTTTTCAAGAAAGGGCAAACGAGTCCAAATCCTCACGAAGGTGAGACTGTGACTGAAGAACGGCTCTTTGAAGCACTGTCTATGTGTTGTGGTTGTGACAGCTGTATGTACACACAGAAGCCCGAGACACACGGGTGTCTCTTCTCTATGGCTCTCCACCTTTAGTTTTGAGACAGGCTCTCTTTCAGGACCTGAAGCTCATTGATGCACCTGGGCTGGTTGGGTACAGATTCTCAGGGATCTGCCCACCTGCACCATACCTCTTTCTTCTTCTCCTCACCCTCACTGCCCTGGCTGGGTTTACAGGCCTGCACCACCATGCCCTACTCCTTACATGGACTTCAAGGATCCAAACCTTGTGGTTAGGTGGCAGGCACTTTACCATTTGAGCCACCTCTGCAGGATAGAGTACCTTGTAAAAATGGCAGTTTACTGAAATGGTTTCAGAGAGAAAGATACACAATTTAAATACAGTACAAGTTCTTTACCTATCAATATCTTCCAGCTTTTCATCAATGAGAGGTCCCATCTGGTGACACATCGCTAAGATGACAATTTTTGAAGAAATAAGAAAACACAAGAAAAGAAAGTAAACTTCTGAAAAATATTTATTAAAAAAATGAAGTTTAATAAATGTGAAGTAATTAAAATATTAGTTATCTTTGGTCAATAGAACCTAAAATTCATTTTCTTAAAGTATAATGGTGAGAGTTTAAAATACTGACTTCCAAATTTTTTTTTTTCCTTTTACAAGACTTTAAGATGCTGAATAAAATAATTTGAATAGTAAGGTTTGTGATTTCAACCTCCACCCAGATTTAAACAGCATAGGAAAGGTGGGAGAGGCACAGCACGAAGGTGTAATGTCCTTCCTAAGACTATTCTCAAAAGTCATTCTGGAGCAGTGTAGTAAGATCTCTGGTGACTCTTTGCTTGTAAGGTAGACAGAAAAAAAGGGTTACCTTCAAGATGAAGTAGCTCTGGCAAGTCTGGCTGATTATCACTGGGATCTGTACTTTGCAACATCTGTAACAACTGGTCCATTTTATCCTATAGAAATAGTTATTGTCAAAAGCAAGCAATCTCTATGAAACATTATGTTCTTTTTGACAAGACAACTCAATCACAGACAGTTTTGGTTTTTTTTTTAGTTTGGTTTTCCGAGACAGGGTTTCTCTGTGTAACCACTCTGGGTGTCCTGGAACTCACTTTGTAGACCAGGCTGACCTCAAACTCACAAGAGATCCACCTGCCTCTACCTCCTTGAGTGCTGGGACTGAAAGCGTACGCCACTACTACCCGGCTTCAGATAGATCTTACAGTTCATCGTTAGGAAGGTTTATTTCCTTTTATGTTTTTAGCATCTTATGCGTTCCCTTTAGCACCATGCAAAATCATGCCCTTGCATGCTATTCGTAGGTTGTTTTTCAAAATGTTCAAATTAGAACAGGACCATCCATTTAGACTTAACGGGGTATAATTTCCCCATTCTCTTAAACCATGTTCAAGAATTTCACTTTGTTTTGGAGCAGCTGTAACTTAGTCACAAAACAGTTGGAGCATCCCTCTCAAGATGGCCTGCTATGACTAACAACTCAGTCATTACTTCTCGCTGGCAGTGAGTATGACAGCTGTTCCACAGGCAGAGCTCAGGCCTTTCCCAGCTGTTCTTCTAAGTGGAGCTCTAAGGATTTAATCTGTTCTCTTTCCATCAACATTTCGGTTTGTCATAAAAAAAGAAAGAAACTTGTAGTTTATTCCTTTTTGTGTGTGTGTGGGAAAAGATGGATAATATCTCAATCACTTACTTGGGTCTATTTCAGAATCCTTTAATACTTAGGACTGAAGGATCTAAAAAAGGCAGTTGCATAAATATACCCATGCATTATACAAAATGTATTTTTTCATTTACCAAATTCTATGAAAGTTATTACAAACTTTTTTCACTCAAATTTTCTATATAGTGATGCTATTACACACAACTAATAATGTAAAGACTACAGATTCTGAATAAAATTATTACTCAAACACAGGCTGTTCAGAGATGAATTAATTGTTAGATTAGTAGCAGAGGAAAGCTCCTTTCAAGTCAAGTGACTGCTGTATTTTAAAGTGAATATTCTTTCACGTGAAAGATTCATGTTCATTTTAAGACATTTAAAAAGGCAACAGAAACGTTCGTCTCCTGTTAATACAACATGGTTCCTATATGAGCCACAGCTGAGTACTCAGACATTTCCTTCTGTAACACAATCTAGCGAAGCAGAATGTTCCCTGACCCAGTTGGATTCCTTAGTACTTAGCACTTGTCCACACTCTTGTTTTTCTCAAAGAGCAAGTATCACCACCACCATTTAGACCAGGCTGGAGATGTGACTCACTAGAAGATCACTTGCCTGTCATGTACAAGGCTCTGGGTTCCATCCCCAGGACCACAAAAACAAACAATTGTTTTTAAATCAGTAATTCCAAATTGATCATTTTTCTCCTTAAACTCATTATATTTCTGCTCATTATCTCCTACAAAATTTTATCTAAATGCACTTTAAAGTCTTCTAGAAGACTTGCCGGGTGGTGGTGGCGCACGCCTTTAATCCCAGCACTCGGGAGGCAGAGCCAGGCGGATCTCTGTGAGTTCGAGGCCAGCCTGGACTACCAAGTGAGTTCCAGGAAAGGCGCAAAGCTACACAGAGAAACCCTGTCTCGAAAAACCAAAAAAAAAAAAAAAGTCTTCTAGAAGACTATGTCAAACTTTTTTGAAATAAAAGCATGTATATAAATTGGCAATACTCTGTTAAATTCATCTATATGCATTAATGATTCCTACTAGTATGTAATGGGTTGAAGTAACAAAGTTCAAATTTAAAAGAATCAAATGAGCCAGGACTCAAGGTCATTCATATTCATATTTTATGTTGTTACAAGTGAAACTAATGGGAAATCTTGTTTATATATTTCAAGCTATTAGAGCAGCACCACTGAATTATTTCCATCACTTCTGAGTGTTATAACAGGAGTCTTAAGTAGCTCATTAGTAAAAATTATTTTTAGGGGCTGAAGAGATGACTCAACAGTTGAGAACATTGGCAGCTCTTTCTGAGGACCCACATTCAACTCCCAGCACCCATATGGCAGCTTGCAACCAACCATCTGTTACTCCAGTTCCAGGGAAACCCAATGCCCCCTTCTGGCCTCTGTAGGCACCAGGCATGCAAGCGGTGCACAGACATAAATCCAGGCAAAATATATACCCACACATATGAAGTAAAATAAAATTTAAAAACTGTAGTTAATAATCTATTAGCTGGCAATTCACTGTGCTCATTGTTCTTTTTTTTTTTTTATTGCTGCCAAACGTATGACACCATCTGAACTGTGCTGGCTAGTCATTACCACCACCAGGATTTGGAATTGCTGCTAGAAATTAATGCACCACAGTAAGGCTTAGTATGGGCACAGGATGAGGCTGACATCTATACAATGGAGAACGAAATTATAACAGAAGAGAAAGAAAATGGAAAATGATGGCAGGAAGTGGTCTCAAATACATCAACTTCTAAAATACAAGAAAATGAAGTTCTGAAGAGTGTTCTACACTGATCTATACCAGGGGCCAGATAGTAAGAATGAAGACTACACAATCTCTTCAGTAACTTCAGCACAAAGGCAGCCAGAAAACACATGTGTATGTATGTGATACAACTATGTAAGAATACAGTTATATTTCAAATTTGGCCTGCTGGGGATAGCATCCTGTATGGCTTGCTAATTCCATCATTTAAAATCAGTTACTAAGTTAATTCAATACAATACTGATATTACTATTCAAAACAATACTATTAATAGGTTTGAATATAAAAATGTAACTTTAAAGCCGGGCGGTGGTGGCGCACGCCTTTAATCCCAGCACTCGGGAGGCAGAGCCAGGCGGATCTCTGTGAGTTCGAGGCCAGCCTGGGCTACCAAGTGAGTCCCAGGAAAGGCGCAAAGCTACACAGAGAAACCCTGTCTCGAAAAACCAAAAAAAAAAAAAAAAAAAAAAAAAATGTAACTTTAGAGGCTAGAGAGATGGCTCAGAGGCAGAGACTGGCTGCTTTTCCAGAGGACGAGGGTTCAATTTCCAGCACCCACATGGCAGCTGACAACTGTCTCTAACTCCAATTCTAAGGAGACAGAAGCCCTTTTCTGGATTTCACAGGCACCAAATATGCACTTGGTGCTCAGATTTACATACAAGCAAAATACATCTATACACATAAAAAAATAATAAATTAAAAAAATATACAGCTGCAAAGATGATTTAAGATAAATACATAACTAATTTTAATTTTTTTTCATATGTAGAAATAGCATAGATTTCTATGCAGCCTAGGGAACTATGACGTATTAATTTAATTCCAAAGATGCCAAGTTTGGGTGGGAGCCATAGCCCAGTGGTAGAGTGCTGACCTTGCAAGCACAAAGCCCTAGGCTAATCCCCAGCACTGTAAAACAAACAAGTCAAGTTAACATGACTCCAAAAAAATACTGTTCCAGTTGCAAGTAAGTGTATTTTCAAACATAACCACTGAAAATAATCACTGTTTCAGATTAACAATGACATGTGGGTGATTTAAAATAAAAATAAAATAAGTTTTCCCAAAAACTCAAATGTGTTCAAGGAAGAAGCACAATTCATTTCACTGAACTGGTTTATGTAGTAGTAATTTAATAACAGCTTCATTTGAAAACCAGCAAATTTGTTTTATTCTTTCAACACACAGTAATTGTCCTATACTCTGCAATGTACAAGCAATTTTAATGCCCGTTGAATATCTGTAAAGACAGGTATTCTCACAGAGCATCAATAAAACTGTAAAAATTTCCCTTCTGTTCAACAATTTCACAGTACCTATTAACATGAAAAACACACAGATCCTTTGGTTTGGAAGTTCCATTCCTGGATATTTAAGCTAAGAAAAACAAATTAAATGTTAAAAAGGAAAACAAAACAAAAAACCCTCACTATAATACTGTTGTTTGTGATAACAATTAAAATTGGAAACTGCCTAAGTGCCCAATAATTAAATACATTAATATAAATCCAAACTATAAAATACTACACAGAAATTTACATTTATCCTTAAATGACCCCTTCTCTAAAGCACTGGAGATCAATTCAGAGTCTCACACACATGATACTGAGCTATATCCTCAACCTTTAGCAGGATAAATAACAAGATCTGAGGAAGGTAAAAATGGGACCAAAGAAGTTGTAACAATAATATATGCTTTACTTATATTGTTAATATTTCAGAACAAGAAAACAAGTAATCCAGCTTCTATACAAAATGCTTATCACTGTTAACAAGAAAACCACTCACCTCATCAATAAAGGCTGGTTCTGGTTCTGGCTCTATTGTTTCTATCTGAACATCATCACTGAATTGTACTGTCTTCTTCTCTGTTTTAACTGGAAAAAAAAACCCATAAAAATTATATTTTCCTTAAAACAGATCTAGCCAGGCAGTGATGGCGCAATGCCTTTAATCCCAGCACTCAGGAGGCAGAGCCAGGAGGATCTCTGTGAGTTCGAGGCCAGCCTGGTCTACAGAGCGAGATCCAGGACAGGCACCAAAACTACACAGAGAAACCCTGTCTCGAAAAAACAAACAAAGATCTTAAAGTTTACTCCTAATAGAGATTATGGACTTTAGAGACTCAATATAAGGAATAACTGAACTGAAGATATTTAGAAAATGATAGAACATTACTTTATAAAACTGTCTACATTTTCTAATTTTCTCTTGTAAAGATTTTTGTTTCCTATAAGCAATCTCACTTAAAAATAAGTTATGCTTCTGAAATAAAAATGACCTACTTCAGAATTCAATAAATTGTTACAAAAATAAAGCTTAATACTAGCATAAATGAATTCTGTAATTTAAAACAATTCTTTTTAAATTACCAGACAATTCAAAAGAAAAATTTTCTTTGATAGGAACACTACAACATAATGAACTGGAAAATCATGCATGAACTCTGGCATGGCACTGGGCTTTCCACCCAGAGAGAACATCATGGTCAGTGAAGAACCACGGAAGTGGCCTCAGCAGGAATCTACACTGGCCAACACATGAGCCTGATTTTCTAATCTCATTGTACTCAGAGGAGAAATGTGGTAAGATTCGGCAAACAACTGGCCTTAAAGAGATTTCTCTTGCTCACCAAAGCAATCTTCACCTCCAAATAACACCAAAAAGTACAGAGAGTTCTAGAGAATGAGTATTTTTTTTTTCTGGATTTTTGGTCCTTGTGATCATCAATGAGGTCAATCAGACATGAAAATGTTAGGAATGAAAATGAAAAGGGAGATGTCAGAGTAGGAAGAACTATGGACAGAAATAATATTCATTACACGACTCAATGTGCTCGATGGAGTATTAATTCACCCTGATGAATTTCCAAAACAATCCTATATGGTATGCTTATTTTTTAAAAAGTGGTTTAGAAAGATTAAAATCTCTTGCAGAAAACTAACAATTGGAAAGGCTGGACTTGTGTGTCAATTGGTCTTGTCTTTTAGCCTTCCTTCTGGAATCTAGCTTGTTACCTGACTTTGAAAAGAAGTTCTTCTTATGTGTTATGGGATTGGGTATTGTCTAATTGGAAATGTAATGATCCTATTCAGTCCATTCAAGTCACCATAAAGCAATATGCTACATACCACCTCCCCACCCCCACAAAAAACAATTGGCTGATTCATTTTCCCATGGGGAAAGGGACATCTATTACAGACATTCTGCTTGCTATCTTACACTATTATCAAGAAGAGAGCTGGGACAGCTCTGCATTCATTGGCTGTTACCCAAAAGAAAACACATGGCAGACTTCACAAGAACTGATAATGCACAAGTTTGCGGCCCCTTTCCTCACAGAAACTGACACCAAATGTATGATACATAAAATATTTTATTTACATATATAATGGCATATTTTCACAATAACTAGCTTTGTCTCCAAAATAAAGTAACATAAATGAGGCATGTGTATCTATGTGACAGATCAAGTGAATTTGGCTTCTATTTCCTATAAAAGAATGATGATACAGGGATCCTGCTAGCATATTTTCTAAATCTGAGGACTATTACTGTATTACATAGGTTCCTATCCTCCTGTTTCTCTTAAGCTGTCCAGAGTGAAACATACAAGAATCAGAAAACTCACAGTACAGCTGCACTGCTGTATGGGAGATAAAGATGACATAGCTATGTAACAGACATGAGTGAAATCTAGGCTCTCATTTTGAACAAAAGTCCAAAGAAGTTCTAAACTTGCCGAAAGCTGACATTAAAAAAAAGCCCAAAACACAACACACACCTCCAGCTGACCAGATTTTTAAAAAAGATGACATATTATACGAGGCCATTCAAATAGGTTTATATAGGCTTTTTAATATATATATTTTAAACTATGTATATATACATGCCTGTCTGTGTGTTAGAGTATGTGCACGTTAAGTGCAGGTACCCAAGAAGGGCAAAAGCATTGGATCTCCTGGAGCTCAAGTTAAAGATAGTTGTAAGCCACTCAACATGGGTGATAGGAAATGAACTTGGGTCCTCTGGAAGAACAGCATGTGCTCTTAACCACTGAGTCATCTCTCCAGTCCCCGAGTTCATACATTTCTCAGTTCCAATGAGTAGTTTAGCTCCAACAACTGTATTAAAAGAATGAGTATCAAGATCTGACTCTACAAAAGTAAAAAAGATAAGTCAGTAGCTATGAGAGAGAACCATTTTATTAAAGATTTAGAATTTCTGACTTGCTGTTAAAGGCTTTTCTTCACTGTTAGGACATCTTATCCATTATGTAGTCTTTGATAGATATATATAACAAAGTCTGGCAGACATAGGGATGTAATTCGTAGACTGTTTCTGATAAGGATTTGGATTTTACTGATATGTGCTCAGGGTAGCCTTCACTGTGTAGTGGTCACTCTTCCACAGACTGGGACTGGAGGAGAGTTCGGATTATAAGCATGCGTCACCACCCTGCGCAGCTTAGAATTTCATTGTTTAAAACACATAGGGGCAAAAATGTTTAAGTCATTTGGCTATAAAGTTGAGTTTACTCAACTTTCATCAAGAAGACTATGGATTATCGATCATCGATCAACAGATCAAAAAGTACTTACTCATTTCTGGTTCAGCAGTCAGATCTGCAGTCACAAAATTAGAAGGAAAAAGCCCTATTCCTTGATGGGTTTCACCTTTCCACCAGTTGGGATCACTAAGACAAACAAACAAACAAAAGAATGCTTTACCAAAAGAAAGAAGTATTCCTGTAAGATTTTACCAGTAGTCCACAGTATTGAACTTGCATTCTCACCACACGAGAATGCTACAACAATGCAATAAACGAGATTGAAGCCTATGTTCACAAACAGGAAGTGAAGAGCTACAGTGGCACCATCAGTTAGTGTGAGGTTCTGATACAAACAGGAAATGAGCCCCTCAAGAGAAGTCTTTGAAGCCACAGTTCTTTTCCTCAGAAGGTCAGTAAATCTTCTGAGAAGCCAATAAAGAGCTATGGACTCTCCCCCAAAAAGAGGCCCTAGGCTTAAAACCATCTGTATCAGGTAGTCCCTTGGGTTTCAACGTAAGAGCTCTTTCTAATAAGATGTGGAAGTAGACTCGGGGACCACGTCTCCATTCCCACACCACTGCTCTTTCATGCATACACTAACAAGGACTGTGTTTCTCCTCCCAATGTGACACATACAGAAGATGGCACCACCTGTAGTACAAAACTTGAAACAGAACTGTCTCCAGCGCCCACTATACTGAAAGCCAGCAAGTGTTCAATAAATGCTTTTCCCAAAGAATGAACAATGCAGTTCTAGCTAGCCAGCTCGAAATTTACATCATTTTGGCTTCTTCATGAAAATATTAAAATATAATAAATGTTTGTCTTCCTAAAATTCACATGCTGAAGTCAGAGGCGGCGGCTCTGGAAGGTGATTAATTCATGATAGCAGAGCTTTCTTGAATGGGATCTGTGACCTTAGAAAAGAGATTTCCTGATTTTTTTTTTTTTTTGCTCCTCCTGCCACATGTGATACCACAGTGACTACACAGCTGTGTCGGAACCATAAAGGGCCCAAACCATGTGCCAAATTGGACAGAACTAAGGGAAATCCATTTCTGCTGTTTAAAAGGCCCTTTGACAACACAAAAGACTAAACAATAAAAACTAAAAACCTCATGCCATGCAGCTCTTCCCCCATGATACCATAAGCATAAAACTACTACGTTTTACATAGATCTATGGTTCTGTATGGATACTATCAATAGATCATGTACTTCCTTCAAATCTACCATTATTTTCTAAAACTTTTAACCTTTTACAAGATTTAACAATTCAAATTACTAGATGGAACAGAAAAAAAACAGGTTTCCAAAACAAATAAAAATTATTTAAGTACATAAAGGAGGAGAAAATTACACTACAAAAGGAATCTATATAGTATAAGGCAAGCAAGTTAACCATCATCTAAAACATCTAGTCAATACTTTGATTATGCTTGGTAATTGATTACATTTAATTAAATAATATTAAAACAGGGGTTTTATAGAATACATTTCCACAAGTGTTCAATGTATAATTAACCATTACCTGTCATCAAGAACTGTAATAACTTCTCCAGCTTTAAAAGTCAGTTCATTATCCTCAGCAGCTTCAAAGTCATATATAGCACGAACTTTTCTACCTTCATGTTGGTGGTTAGTTAAGAGATTAGACGTGCTTGGGTATAAAGTGGAAAGGGCAGTTGACTGCTGTCTTTGCTCCTTGAGAGATAACTCAATAGCTGCAAAACAGATTTTAAAGTCCTCAGATCTTAATAACAGCCGACAATACACTGACAGTATTATTTCTCAACAGTGTAACAGGAGACTAGTGTATATCCTCATATAATAACAAATCATTAGAAGTTATATACATTCACCCATCACTGAAAGAATAAAAATAACTTTTTCAAAATTTGACAGTTTATTGAAAAATTATAATTTAAGTTATTTTGGGTAATAAAAAGACAAACTTTATTTAAAAAATAAAGCAGCTCTGCTTCATCTGAAGCCATTTCCTTCATCTGTAAATCACTAAAAAACGTTATTCAGTCAGGACTTACAAACTCACCTTTTGCTAAATCTTCTTCTTCCTTTTTGTTAGCCACAGTGCCAGGGTCTTTGGCTACCAGAGCTGGGCTTGCTTTCGCTTGTTCTGCAGCCTAACATACAAGGAAAAAGCAAGACAAGGAGTAAGAGTCTTTCTCAAATTGTCCTAAGTGTACCTCCCCTAAAACCTTGCAAGACCCCTCTCATTAGTCTACTACAGACTTCTCAAGATGACAGACAGACACCCAATCTGGAAGGCCTTCCACTTCAAAGAGGAAAGAGCATCAGAAATGGAGAAATGAATTGCAACTGGAAAGACTGATAGACCATCTGCAATTCCCCAGATTAACTTAAAGACGATAAACTAGAAACAATATGCGAGTCAGAAAGAAAACAAAAATAATATTTTATAATTTTAGAAAAATTCCAGAACTAGAAGAGGGGTCAGGAGAGGAAAGCAAGGGATCACTTTAATGAAATAAAGATTGTCTTTTTTTTTTTCTCTTATGTCAGGGTTTCTCTGTGTAGCCTTGACTGCCCTGGAACTCGATCTGTAGACCAGGCTGGTCTTGAATGCAGAGATCTGCCTGCCTCTGCCTCCCGAGTGCTGGGATTAAAGGCGAGCGCCACCACTACCCTGCTAAAGATAATCTTAAAACTGCATTTTATATAAACAAAAATGCAAGCAACTCTGGCAGTGTGTCAGTGCTTACAACTATGTTACAAGTGCTTACAAGACAATGTGCAGCTAGAAATACATGCTAATTCACATGTCTGGAATTAGAAGCTTCTAAGCTTCATTCATGGCCTCTTAGAATATGCATTTACTCAGTGCAGATCAGAATGCAGCCTATTTTGCCAGTTCCCAGAAGGTAAAAGTGGTTCCTGAGCAGACTCACACTGCATCTTCTATACCCATGGCCCATATTTGCTTCTTCTATTTATAATGTTCCTCTTGGTTCACTGTGCTCCATTACTTTTTTTGTCCCTACCAAGTTTTAACTCAACAGTTAGTAAGTAGCTAACAAATCACTTTCTCAATGAAACATTCCTAAACCCTTAGTTAAGCATTCTTTGTGACCTCTGGTATTTAAACAAGGATTTGGAACAATGTAGTATGAGAGGGGTGATTAGAAATACAAGTTGAAAGCCGGGCGGTGGTGGCGCACGCCTTTAATCCCAGCACTCGGGAGGCAGAGCCAGGTGGATCTCTGTGAGTTCGAGGCCAGCCTGGACTACCAAGTGAGTTCCAGGAGAGGCGCAAAACTACACAGAGAAACCCTGTCTTGAAAAACCAAAAAAAAAGAAATACAAGTTGAAGAATCAGGATAACATAATATTTACATCTACCATACTTTCTAGTCATATGTTAGCAGGTGTCTCTAGCCATATGATACTCTTGATGACTCAACTCTGCAATAAAGTAAGGATATAACAACATCTGCTTCTCATGGGTGCATTTCAACATCTTTAGAGGCCTAGGTTAGCATATGTAGCTTCTAAGATCAGATGAGAGGAGGTTTAATCTGGGTTCAAAGCAGAAGTATAACATTTATATCCAGGGGCTTACCACAATGTATATAGAGGTGATTCATATGACAACTACGAGAGATGTTGAGGCAGGGAGTAAATGAAACAACAAATGACATAGCACTGACTTGATTACAAATCAATAAAGAAATTATTGCAACCAATTAAGAAAATGAAATTATAAGAATTTTTCAAATTATCACATGTACAGCACTCAGAACAATGACTGACACACAGCAAAGAACAGTAAATCTCAACTTCTAGTGTAACTCAGTTTCTGTCTCTCCCACCAGACTGTATGTTCCTTGAGGGAATGTGTCTATACAAGCAAACAATAAAATGTATGTTGAGTGCAATGAAAGGCAAACAGTCAACATGAGAACAAAATATAGCTGTAGATTTGTTATTACTGTATTGTACATGATCAGATGCCTAGGCAGTTTTTCTTTAGTGCCATATGTTCATTTAAACACAACTTGAGCAACTCTTAATTCTGACTCATACTTATTTAGAATCTTAGATTCTGTTGTGACTACTATACACGTGTACAAGTTACAAGTATACTTGGTCAGAGACAGCCTTTACCATTTATTTGAATTTCTTTCATTATTTGCTTAACTTAACACACACATAAGTAGGTATTTTTACACTCTTTGAAGAAACTCTCTACCAACAGAGAGGGAAGTACAGAAAGAAACCATATGAAGCACCATGTTCCTAAGCTGTGTGCTCCTCAGTTCCTATCAAGAGGTATGAGCCAACCAAGACGCTTCTCATGACCCAGTACAGCATGGAAGCAGCTCTAGTCTTCTACTACTATGACAAGTGCTAACAGAACTGTGAAGTATAATTTCTACAACATGTTTGCATTTTCTTCTGTCTTGAATAAAAAATATATTTAGAAAATACCTTTGTATCTTCAGGATCTCTTATTAAGTCTGCTGATAAAAATCTAGTCTCATAAAACTATAGCAAGGATTTCAGTAGCTAAGTAGCTTTAAAGTCTAGAAGAAACTCTGCAGTTGGACCTTTATCATTTGCTTTTCTTTCTTTCTTTTTTCTTTTTTTAATTTATTTTATGTGCATTGGTGTGAAGGTGTCAGATCCCCTGGAACTGGAGTTACAGACAGTTGTGAGCTGCCATGTGGGAATTGAACCCGGGTCCTCTGGAAAAACTGCCAGTGCTCTTAACCACTGAGCTATCTCTCCAGCCCCTATCATTAAACACATCTTTACAGTTTCTAATGACAAGCTTTTCATTTTATGTAATTTTCTGTAGCTGAAAGATAATAATTAAAATAAAAATGGTTTTGCATGTATCTAAATAAAAAGTCTTCAGTATCAGTCTTCTACATCTGAAATAATCTGAACAAGAGAATAATGTAATTTCTATACCAATTAATAATAAATGCTCTTGCCAGTGACCACTACACTTCTTGCCCCATGAAGCCTGATCTAAACAGAAGTGCATCCAGTGAATGCTACTGGAAAACAGGTAAGAGCAGGTGGTGTAAAAACAATGAACTGAATTGTCCTTCCTCCAGCCACTCTCAGAAGCAGTTCTCTCATGTGTATAACGAAGGGATTACATTAGAAGACCCCTGAAGTTGCTCCCATAACTAAGATTCTAGACTAATGAAGAAGGTTCCATGTCAAACACATCACTACTGTTTCCTCCTCTTATAAGGGCAATTCCACCTATGGAATGAAAGGTGCTTGCATTTGCACTAAAGGCTGTGCTCTAAAGCAGTGCTTCTCAACTTCCTATGCACAGTGGAAAGCATCTGGGGATCTTATTAAATGGAGACAATGAGTTCACAGGTGTGGAGTGGCACCTCAGAGGCTGGAGTCCTGATAATCTCCCAAGCGACCATGACGACGACGATGAATCACATTTTGAGTAAGAAGTTCTAGAACAGGTATAGAAAATGCAGCTCTACTAAGTCTGCTCTATGTCTCTGCAGTGCATCTACTCTTTCATAGACATTGTTTCTGTTGTCAAGGAATTTATAGTACCTTGAATTGTTCTGCATAAAAATCATTAATTTTAAATTTTCAAAATTATTAATAAAATCTAGCTATCAATTATGAAAAACTATTTAGACCTATCCCCATGAACTTAATTTAAAACAGTAATTTTTTTTTTTGTTTTTGTTTTTTTTGTTTTTCGAGACAGGGTTTCTCTGTGTAGCTTTGCGCCTCTCCTGGAACTCACTTGGTAGCCCAGGCTGGCCTCGAACTCACAGAGATCCGCCTGGCTCTGCCTCCCGAGTGCTGGGATTAAAGACGTGCGCCACCACCGCCCGGCTAAAACAGTAATATTTTAAGCAAAAAGAAAATAATCCACTTGCTTCCTTTCTCTTTCGGACATTTTTCTGGGTCTTCACATCTAAAGAGCACTCAGATAAAATGCAAATGCCTTGGGAAGAAAATCTAGATAGCTCTAGACAAAAGTATACAATCTAATATGACTCTTGAAAGGGGTCAACAGTCAGAAGGTAAGCTCTTGTTTCCTTCATGGTTTCACATAACTTGTTAAGAGTTTGTTCCAATCCATACAGCAGGAAAAGAAAATATACTATATTACTATGCATATACCCTTAAGGATTGGCTACCTACAAGAGACATATACAAGGTGTCCCTTGATTTTTTTATTATAGGACACAAATCAGACATTCACTGCATTACACAGACAGCTGTATGTGCCAAAGGAAATCCACCCCTGTGCCAGCCCCATCTTTTAGAGGGAAATCAAAACTCAGGCTCTACTTAGCTCCTGTTTAAAAACAAAAGTCAGCTCATTTGCTTCTTTTTCCACTGGCCTCTAATATCTTCTAATTTATATAAAGGTATTCATCAATTTCTCAATAAAAAGATACCCTAATTTTTAAGCTATAATTCTTTTTTTTGGGGGGGGGGCGGTTTAAGACAGGGTTTCTCTGTGTAGCTCTGACTGTCCTGGAACTCTGTAGACCAGGCTGGTCTCGAACTCACAGAGATCCGCCTGCCTCTGCTTCTCCAGTGCTGGGATTAAAGACATGTGCCACCACCGCCTGGGAAGCTATCATTCTTTGTAGATAAAGTAACAGCATTAAAAGCATTTAACAAGATTATCCATTGTTACCTGATCCAATGCAATTTTGTTGTAGTAAAACTAAATAAAGAATTATTACAAAACATTAAAGCAACTCCTTTTTGAAGGAGAGGTATTGGGAAAGGAGAGCTTGGGGTCCACTAATAGTCTACTATAAACCACTCTAAAGCAGTAAAAGCTAACTATAAATGAAAGCCAGAGAAAAAGTCAGACGTAACTACTTTAGAAGAAAAAATGAATTGTAGCACACAACTTCACAGAATACCTGAGAGCCAATAGCTGGGAATGTAACACCTTGTTCCTTAAGGTTCTTAATCATCGCCGAGATCAGACTAAGCTGTGGATCATTCTTAAATTCATCTGTCCATTCAACCATAAGAGCCTTTAATTTTTCACATACTTTAGGATGACCCTAAGGAACAGCAGAGAGAGAGAGACAGACAGAGAGAGAGAAATGAAAAAGTACCAGTTTTCTGGTATAAGTAAAATATAAATTCTCAAGTGTTACAGATCTCTTTTAAAATCACAAATTGTCCCTTTATAACAGATATCCTTCTAATATAAAATTATATATATATAAATATCTTATATGTCTATGTATATATTCATTTTCTATAGCAATAGATTATACATGTGAAAATAAGAAAATAGCATCTATAAATCAACATTACTTTCATACTATGAAAAAACAATAAAGATACTATTAGCTATATCTCACTTCAAAACTGAAACATTAAATGTGTAATAACTTATTTTGCAGATTGGAATGACAGGCCTTTTCAGTGCAATGTACAACTTTAGAGGCTTTATACATCAGAACAACAAAGAAAAATAACTTATTTTGCATTGCTATTTTTATTTTTTAAAAACTGCAAGAAAAGAATAAATGGTATGGTTCCGTTTTCCTTAATTCCTTCCTTTCAATTTTCACACCTGGTGCTTTCTCATGACTCTTAGCTGAGATCTGTGTGAAGTACACTACATGCTAATCATCTTAGGAGCTTTTTTTCTTCCAAAGAGCACTTCCCCCTTGAGGAAAAAGCTAAAAGCATTTAAAGTCCTCTCTCTATATGTTTCTGTCTTTCCAAACAGCTGTTTATAGTACGATATAACTTTTTTTATGTATCTTACTTATTACAGAAAATATGGTAGAAAACTATCTTCTTAAACAATCACCCCTTTCACTGGACATTCAGAACACTGTAAGACATGTCCATTCATTGGTTAAAAAAACAAATGTGATTCACTGAAACAGAAAAGGGAATCATGACTAAGACCTATAAAAGTATTATTTCTTTCACATTTCTGTACAAGTTTTTTTCCTACTAAAAATCTGAAGCACTCATATACTTCAAAATTGCCCAAAGAATTCCCCTATTAACATTAAAATCCTTTTCTTGATATACAATACCAAATAGTTTAAGCCAGAAATAATTACTTATAAAACATGAAATTTTTTACTAGAAAAACTGTTACATTTCTATTTTTAGACTCCTTGAATTAGGCACTGAATTTTTTCTGACATGCAATTAAATAGGCAATACTACAGTTCCCAGTTCTCTTGTTCTTCCTGTCCAGATAAAAACACACAAACACACGAATGACCAGAACAGCTACATGTTTTCCTCTATAGACTTGAAAATAAGCTGGGCTTGTTTAAATTCTTGGCTGAAATACTAAAGATCAAATATGTGGGTGAAAATATAGAATCCAGTCCTGGCCTTGAGCGATTTCTTCAAGTCTATAGTGTAGTCCTCCTATAATTCTCTAACCAGCCACCTTCATTATAGACATATCTGGAGAGACTATCTCTCTTCTACAATGTCCATCACAAGGACTCTGCTGTCTTCAGTATCTAAGTTCCACTAACAAGTGCTATGGGCTATGGAATTGAGTGCTTCTTAGTTTGGAATCACAACTGGCCCAGTCTTGGCTTAGAGGCAGTCCCCTAGTAAGAACTTCTCTGCCTCAACCTTAGGGACAACTTCATCTATAGGTCTAGCCCAGTCGAACAGTAACACAGTAGGAAAACCCTGTGATGGACAGTCAGGTAGTTCACATAAGATGAAGATTCAACAGGACCTTAATTCTGGCAGTTTCTTCTGAAGGATTCTACATTAGGGAAATACCTTTGTATGGGTACAAAAATGGTATCAAAAAAAGTGCCTAAAGTAGATTGGTATTATTTCATTAAATATATAGGAATGTATGTTTTCTTATCAGATGAAAGGATAGATGGACCCTAAACCTATTTTAATGTGGTTTGCAAAAGAACCAACACTAAAATTTATGTGGATTTGTAGTCTAAAAAGGAAATACAGTTCAAACACACACACACACATACACACACTTTGGAATTTAAAATGGGAAGAACTTAACAATAAAAAATACATGAAAAAAGACTTCCTTGATTTCTGGACATAACGTTCCTTACCTTATTTAATACGTTGCTTACTTCACTAGCAAAATCTCTTGAACATACTTCTAAGTGAAAAATTTTGCCACAGTTTGATACACATGCTCCTAGAAGCTGTAAGGATAAAGTGAGAAATTAAAAGGGCTTAATGTTGAAGGATAATTAAGCAGTGTGGTTTACTTAAAATGAACCTACTTACAGTTAAAGCTTGCATAGCAACATGGGGGTCTTTATGGTTCACTCTTCTCATAATAGAACGAAGACAGTCTTTAGGTCTAAAAAATGAGAAGTTTAACAATTAATAATAAATCTAGTTCTCTCCACTAAGTGTATAGAAGGGAAATTACTGTACAAGAGTTAGGTTATTAATGACATCTGAAAACTATATACTAGTTCCCTTCAAATTCCCAAAGGTATCACAAGTTCTCTTGCTCAGTAGACAGAGAGGAAGCATTTAAAGCTAATTCTGCATGAAAAATTGTAGGTAAATTGGAAGGCTAATACATTTCAAGTCATAACAATAAGTTCAGCAAGATTTATATATTTATATATATATATATATATATATATATATATATATATATATATATATAAATAAAGCACACACACACACACACACACACACACTCCTGCTATAAACAATTACAAAACTAGAAAATACATATGAAATATGTATTGACAGATAGTGCCCGATAGCTTTGGTAGTGACAGCAGCTCCCTCTCTAGTCCTGGCCCAAGTGGACCCAGCTTGACCTGTTCCATACAACTATGGGCAAGAAAAAGGTGATGATCAAAAAGCAGACAGGTCCAGGACATGCAACAGGAACTGGTGGAGTAATCTATTCAGGCAAGGAGAATCTTGACATAGGAAAGGACTGCAGCCTAAGTCTTATTTACAGTAGTGCACAGCAGCCATGGTCCTTCTAATGAGGAACAAGTGCAAAAAGGGAGCTTGCTAAGATACAACCCACCTATGAGAAAAGCACCATGTCACGGAGAGAAACTTCAGTAGCTATGACATAAGAAACACAACCCTGCATCTACTTCTACCTGGGCCAAGTGGCCAATCTTCTGCTCAAAACTGCTTAAAATGACTGTGTCACAAACTCAGTGATCTACCCAAAAGGAAGGATTTTTAGGCTAACTACCACATACCAGAGACAGAAATCACCAGTCATCCTAACCAACATCTTAATTCTTTGAACTTTTATTATGTACAGTAGTTCTGGTTATTTAAAGCAATTAAGAAAACAACTGGCCTTTGTTTTCTGTTTCAAAGACGCTGGGGACTGATCGTAGGACTTTTATTATATAGGAAAGCACTCTATCACTGAGATACATCCCCAGTCTACACTTGTATTTACTTTCTATTCTATATTTCTAGGCCTCATTTTTTTCTCTCAATCTATTTTTAAAACAAATAAAACTACTGTAAATTAAAAATATATGGATACGCGTGGAAGTCAGTGTTGGAGTGTCTAGCATGCCCTGAGTTTTATTCCCATCACTGCAAATTAATTAATTAATATATATTAAGGTGTTTAGGGACATCAAGCCAGGCAGGAATGAATAATAACCCACAAAAAAGAAACAAGTCAGATAAGACACAAGTTAGTCTCACTTTCCTGCCTACAGAGAGTTGCCAAGTTTTAGTACAAACTTGTGACTTAAATAAACACAGTTTCCAGATTACAGCACAAGGAAGGTGATTCTGAGAATCAGTGACTTCACTGAATCAAGCAGAAATAAATTAGAAATCAGGAAGCCTAAAATAATTAGAAATCAGAGGATGGAAGAGAAGGTACTACACATCAAGAATCCTAGAATTCAAGAGATTTAGTCCATAGAGTGTTTGCCACATGTTCATGAGGACCTGAGCTTAATGACCATCCAAGCCTAGTGAAATTGGTGAACTCTGGGTTCAGTAAGGACCCTGTCTTAGAAAATAAGGTAGAGAATGACTAGAGAAGACACCTGACATCAACCTCTGGACTCCACATGCATGCACACACATACACCTCATGTACATGTGCACACATATATACCAAACACACGAATTATATAATTTAAAGAACTGAAATAAACAAGATTTCTCTATTATAATGTGAGTTGCTTCACTCTGCCTCTACAAAATGGACTGAAACTCATCAAATTATGAAACAAGATAAATCCTTCCTCTCTTAAGCTGGCTTCCTAACAGCAACAGAAAACCGATACCAGAGAAGCACGGTTGTTGCTATGAATTTTCCCGATGACATGATTCAGAAGTCTTCAGAACAGGTTGGTGGGGAAAAATATGTAAAAACTTGGAATCTTAATTAGGGTTTCTATTGTTGTGAAGTGACACCATGGCCATGGCAACTCTTATAAAGAAAAACATTTAATTTAGGTGGCTCTCTTTCAGTGTCAGAGGTTCAGTCCATTATCATTGTGACAGAAGAAGCATGGCGGCATACAGACAGATGTGATGCTGGGGTAATAGCTGAGAGTCTACTTCTTGTAGGAAACAGGAAATCTACAGCACTGAGCAAAGCTAGAGCAAAAGAGACATCAAAGCCCACCTCCACGGTGACACACTTCCTCCAACAAGACCACACTTATTCCAACAAAACCACAACTCCCAATAGTGCCATTCCCTTTGGGGGTCATTTTCTTTCAAACCACAACACTGAGAAATACAAGTTAGAGAGTTCTGCAGTGCTGTAAGCAGAGCTCAGTGGGAAGTTCAGGTGTAAGCTCAGAATACTGACAGTAAACGCTGTACACAAGAGGCTTCAAACAAGATCTAAGGACTCTACAGGGAATTGAGTCAGAGGTCATTTGTGTTACATTCTGGCAAAGAACTTGCCTACATTTATTCTTGTCCTGAGGCTTCGTGGAAGGTTGAACTTCAAATGAGTGGAGTACTTAATCTGTTTGAGGATATTTCAAGTCAGGCCACCATTCAGGCTGTAGCATGATTACGCTAGCTGCTTTTAGCCAAGTGTACATAGAATGGCAGAGAAAACACACTAGAAAGGCTGGGAAAGTTTGCAGTTTGCTCAGAAATAACTGTGGATAAAGTTGGGGTCAGGAAATTGCTTGCTGAAGAGATAAAAACCATTAAAAAATAAGTCAAATACTCTACATCAGTAGGAAAGACACTCTGAAGAAGGAGTCACACCATACCCCACATTTGACTGTTTTAAAAAGAGAGCTCTAGGGCATCCTACTCTGAGAGTAGCCCAGGAAACTCCATCACATATCCTGGCCCTCCATGGTGTGACCAAGGGAATCCAGTGCCTCTTCAAGCTGTGGGAAGCCCTTGGCATTGTTCACATCGGGCTGGTTTTGCAGACACACAAAGTCTGAGAGTTATATGGTCACGAAAGCTTCCCTCCAGATTTCAAAGAAATGCCCGGGAAGCCAAGAAAATGGTCAAGATCCCTGCAGCAGCCAAGATTGTAATTTGTGAATCTGTGATAGTGGGGCCTGAATGATGCAATAGAATGCAGATCCTATGAAGTCAGAGATGCCAGGAATGTGGAATGAATGTCAAGGTAAGCATCGGGGCAATAAGTGGAGTCAATTCAAGAGAGGTCATGTAGGCAACAATGCAAAGGCTATGGGATGAGGCTTACCACTGAATGGGAAAAAAATATTTGCTAGTTATACATCTGACACAGGATTAGTAACTAGAATATACAAGAATTCAAAAAGCTAAACATCAAAAAACCAAACAAGGCAATTAAAAATGGAGTATAGAACTAAACAAAGAGAAGAAATACATATGGTTACTAAACACTTCATAATTTTTTCCATATCCTTTGCAATGAAGGAAATGCAGATTCCGACTACATTAAAATTCCATTTCATCCCAGTCAGAATAGCCATCATCAAGAATGGCAACAAATGCTTGTGCAGCACAGAGTCCTTTCACACTATTGGTAGAAATGCGAAATAGTGCAATCACTTAGGAAAACAACCTGAAGGGTCCTCAAAAAACTAGAAATAAAATTATTATGACTCATTCATACCACTCTTGGGCATATACCCAACAAAACCTATGTCCTATTAAAGAAATACTTGCACATCCATATTCACCACTACCCTGTTAACAAGATAGGAAATGGCATCAGCCTAGATGCCCATCTTGATGGATAGGAAAATGTACATACACACAATGAAATTCTACTCAGCTGAAAAGAAAACTTGAATTTTGCATTATTCTGGTAAATGGATGAAACCGGAGCGGGCAGGAGTATTGAGTGAGGTAACCCAAACCAAGAAAGACAGATGTCACATGTTCTTTTTCATTAAGGATCCTAGCTTCAATTTTGTTTTTTTCTGTGTATATGTGTTTAACTTGGAATACTTGTGAAAGCCATGAAAGTAGAAAGAGGTCCAGGAGTGGGAGTAGGAAAAGGACCTTAGGGAGAAAAATTGCAGAACACCGGTAAGAATGAAAGTACAGAGGGGGATTGGTGGAGGAAGAAAGGGTTAAGGGAGGAGGGAGGAATGGAGAAAACAGGGGGACAGGAACAACAAAAAAAAATACAGGGGTATGAAAAGGCCATATGAAAACCTACAATCTTCTAATCCAAATAAAAATATTGTTTTAAAAAAGTTTGAAGGGTGATACCCTGTATGGCAAGACACTGAACCAAAATCCTAGTGCTAAGTACGGGAAATCTCCACATGAGTAATTGTCTGTGAGGCCCAGAGGCTCCAAAACAATACAGTCTCCTGCTTTTCCACCTGGTTGCCCACCGTTGCAAGACTTATTGTTTAAGACATTATACATCTTGGTTGCAAGATACAGAGAAATCAAGCTACAACTGAACTGGAAAGCCCTCTGCTGGCTAGCTTTCAAACTGCAGGCTACTGGGGAAAGAAAATAAACAAACAAAACAAACAAAAATCCTATTCATAGTGAACTCCACATACTCCAACACATCTGTCAGGCAAAATGTGACCTCATGTGCAATAGTGGCACCAATGCTCTGTAGAGTTAACCAACCACTTCCGATTGGATCTGAGGCCTGCTCCACTGAAGAGAAAACCCGTGCCGTAAGAAGTCATAGGTTCTATGAGGGAAATTACTACTGATGTTAATTCAAGCTAAATAGACGTAAATAGGCAAAGGCTACTCTCAACCCTAACAAGAGAAGCCTATCTCTCCAGGAAACAGTGGTGAATACAGAGACTCGATATGCAGATATCGAGTAATGGATGAGGGCTCAGACTTTAACAATTCATTTCTCATCCACTATTTACAAATGAAATCATGAACTCC